CGTAGCAAGACAGGCAGGTAGCAAACAATTAGTAGAATAATGCAGGCAGCATGTACACATGTAATAAACACAAGTCAGGTTCACACAGGAAGTCCATATTAGGCAATTATTATTAAACTCTAAATGGGGGCCACATTTGTTTTCAAGATGTAATCTGACTATTGACATAACATTGTTGTATGAAACATTCCCCTCATAGTTGTACAACATCAACATTAGCAAAATATTCAACACAGAGGGCTAAGACTCTACCATTTCATAATAGGGGGAGGGGGCATAGCTGGAGAAATACATACACACCAAACCATGCTGATAATAAAGGAACACTGCATGTAGCAGGATTAATTATGCGATACAAACATAAGCCAAGCACAATCTTTTTTTCAAAAACTGCATCAAAAACCAATTGCATTGCAAATATTTGGTAGTGTCATCAGAGTACTCCAGCAATGGGCAGGTACTTTTGTAAATTACGTATAGTTAGGTAATGCTCATGATGCCACTTCTGAGCTTGCAGGTCAGAAGACAACAACAAAGATTTAATGGATTTCGGGATGAAAATACAGCATTTACGAGTGAAATATGCCACAAATCATGTATATAGTTGCAAGTACAATGGAATCAGTAATTCCTTGAAATTACTACCTAGAAAACATTATTCAAAAATCACTGCAGCACTAAGAAATAGTGGAGGGTACGTCCAGAAATTGGTGTGATCACTCATGCTGGAGGAAACACTGCAGCACTAAATGTCATCAGGTTTTGCTAAAAAAAATCACGACATTTACCTTTGTTTCTCCAATCTGGTAATGTTCTTCATTTAAATCCATATTTATTAAAAAATCTTGCAATTTTTCTCTTGAAATTTCAAATTCTTGCGGTAGCAAAAATTTATAATGCTGACAAAATTCCTGTAAAAGATAATATGACATATAAAGAATATGTCTATTCATTGCTATACCTTGTATACATTAGCAGATCTAGCCAGGATGTATTGAATTGCGCACTCTTTGGCAATACTGAAAATAAGGGCTGAAAATATAATAGATCATTTTTTTTATATTTTTTACTATAATGCTACAGTTATGAGAAACTCAACGTTTAAAAGTCAAAACACATCAATTCATGCTAGAGATGGAATACACCAAAGAAATGAACACATGGAATCAAGAGCTATTACAAAGACAGCATCTAAAACACACTGTTACAAGATATATGACTTGAAAAGCTGCAATAGAATCATGCACAGGATTGTGAGGGAGTATGTTTACATTGAGTTTGAGAAACTGTGTTTTAGACGATGTAAGAAGGCATTGCATGCTATAAAATTATTATGAGTAATATTCATGAAAACAGTACAATAATGGGTACAATGTATCAATTGAATATATGAAATTTGTTTTATTTTGTGAAATGTGACAAATGTAGACTTTTATGATCAAAGGGTTAAAAACAACTAACAAAAACATTTCTATAAAATTTCACCTCAAATGTTAGTCTGACATTGTAACCAGCTCTTCTAATTCTGACTGTTTCCAACATTCCAGTGTATTTCAGCTGTCGGATTAAAAGATCTTCATCCAATTGGCATGGTTCTTTCTCAGAATTTGACTTAATACACCTCACAAAAAATGGATTCGCATGATTCAGTGCTTCCATTAGTTTACTCAGTGATATCTGTGAATAGGGAACAATCAAATGTTGTAGTGACACCTATGTCTTGGTTACATCATGGAACTATAAACCCCGGAAGAACAACGAAACTAAGAGGATTAAAAAAACCTTTGTCTTAGTTTATCTTACAGTGCTTTCGCTTTTGTTTCCACAACATTAGTCATACTCCATGTTAGTTGCCGCCGATACGCCCGTATCAACCGCTTTGCTGGAAACGGAAAACTTCAAAAAAAAATTTCATATCTGCGCAGTAAAATATTTCGTTCACTACGCATGTGCAAACAAGTCGGTCTGCAGGGTGACCTTCAGTGTACCGGAAATCATGCAATGGGTCAGAGTTTTAGCGAGTTTTCATAATTTTCAATGTCGTTTTTAGATTACTTCTTGTTTTTTTCAACCCTCGAAAAAATAAGGTTGTGAAAGTTTGCGAAACATGGGGTTTGGTATGCTGTTTGTTGTCAAGATATCCCAACTTATTCTGTGTTTCCCTTCGATCGCCAGAAGTGGCAATGTGTTTTTTTTCCCGTTGAATGTCACTCATTTATCTGTGTTTTTGTCTTGGCGCCATTGTTTTTTTATGCTATAACCGAAACAACTCGATCACGTAATCTCCCAAAGTCGCCCAATTGACTCCGAAAATGACCGATAGTCGGAGATAAACGATCATTTGCGTAAATCAGCTTATTTTTTAATGCGACGAAATAAACAGTCAAAATAAACATTCAACATCGCGGCAACTATCATAGTTCAAAGGAAACAAAGTCGTTGTTATACCTGTGGTTTATAGTTCCATGGTTACATCATATGGTAATAAGGTGAATATGGGATACGGTCATATGGTAATCAGGTGAATATTAGATATGATAATATGAAAATCAGGTGAATATTAGATATGATAATATGGTAAGCAGGTGAATATTAGATATGATAATATGGTAATCAGGTGAATATTATATATGATCACATGGTAATCAGGTGAATATTAGATATGATCACATGGTAATCAGATGAATATTAGATACGGTCACATGGTAATCAGGTGAATATTAGATACGATCACATGGTAATCAGGTGAATATTAGATACGGTCACATAGTAATCAGGTGAATATTAGATACGGTCACATGGCAATCAGGTGAATATTAGATACGGTCACATGGTAATCAGGTGAATATTAGATATGATCATATGGTAATCAGGTGAATATTAGATATGATCACATGGTAATCAGGTGAATATTAGATACAGTCACATGGTAATCAGGTGAATATTAGATACGGTCACATGGTAATCAGGTGAATATTAGATATGATCATATGGTAATCAGGTGAATATTAGATATGATCACATGGTAATCAGGTGAATATTAGATATAATCACATGGTAATCAGGTGAATATTAGATATGATCACATGGTAATCAGATGAATATTAGATACGGTCACATGGTAATCAGGTGAATATTAGATACGGTCACATGATAATCAGGTGAATATTAGAAACGGTCACATGGTAATCAGGTGAATATTAGATATGATCACATGGTAATCAGGTGAATATTAGATACGATCACATGGTAATCAGGTGAATATTAGATACGGTCACATGGTAATCAGGTGAATATTAGATATGGTCACATGGTAATCAGGTGAATATTAGATATGATATGGTAATCAGGTGAATATTAGATATGATCACATAGTAATCAATCAGGTGAATATTAGATATGATCACATGGTAATCAGGTGAATATTAGATATGATCACATGGTAATAAGGTGAATACAGGAAATCAAATGTATAAACTGACCTGAAATTGTGATCCTACAGTGGTCTGGACTTTTTTAGAAGAATTTCGAACACTGTGAAGACTCCTTCGTACCAACTTCTTAAAAGATTTCAAATCCTTAAGTCCCTGAAAATGTACATGTACAGAGATTGAAGTAAACAATAATTTATCACCAAAATGGCTGCCAGCCAAATTGATCAGATAAGTTGCATGATGCATCTCAAAATATTGTGTGTACCAACTTAGAACTGAATTCTAGTAAAAGAGAAACATAAATTAAAGAAACCATAGACAGAATCCCAGTGTGCTGAGGAGACATATGAAGCAGAAATAAGAAATATTAATGAAACAAGAAGCCTTCATGTAATCTAGCCCAGCTCTTGAAATAAACAATGTAAATACAATCAGATTCATATTGTAATACAGGATCAAATAAACCTTAGAAATAACTTCTGTGAGCTGAGGATATCGGAGGCATAAAGTACAAATAAAGAATACTGTATTTACTATATTAGTATGTGTCCAAAAGAAGAGTGCAAACAAAAATTTCATTTATTATATGAACAATCATTGCAATATGTCTTATTTTGATCATAGACATTATTTACATTTAAGTACATGAGCTTTAATAGAGCAGTGATCAGGGTTGTTGTGGACATTGTATAACAATTATAAATATTTAATGAAATCAGGACATAAATGATGACTTCATATTTTTGTCAATTATCTTGTTCTACAACAATCTTATAGTAATGGTACCATGTTTCTATAAGCAACAGTACTTAAGTTATTACAGTTATGCATATTAATGAGATCACATGACCACAAATGAGCATCTGATGTTTTAGTCATATTTCAGAGAGAAGATACTGCTTACCTTGGCAGGGCCAGATGAAGGCTTGAATGATTTGTTTTTCCTAAGGTGACAAAACATGCAAAATTAAAAAAATGTGTCATTTACTGTGAAATTACATGTACATGTATTTCCATCTTCTTAATTTCAAAACAAATAATTGAACACTGCCTATCGATTTTGAATGGTAGAAATTACTTTGCATGCAGGGACATTTTTAAATGTTTAAAAAATAGATTTCACTGTGGTCAGCACAAAATATTTAAAAGGTTCATAGTGGGAATAAAAGAAAATAAAAACAATAAATTGAAGGCAAAAAGGGGTGCATCATCTCACTATTTTTATTTTTTACAACTCAGAACCAGTAAACAATATTTTTGTATTTGGAGCAGTCATTTCATTTTTCATATACAATACACACAATTCAAATGCACTGAGTAAAGCAGAATACAAATGTAGTTTCACAACTTCTTTACACTGCCCTCTAGCGACTAAAATGCATTTCTGCTGATCCGTATACCAGCAACATACTTTGATTAATATCCATTTCCAAGAAAATTAAACAGATGATTAATGAGTGCTCTCTAGAAACATACATCATGACTTTAGTTGCTTTTTTAAACTCCTCCGTGTAAATCGTGCGATATCGGCTTGGCGATACACTGCCGCTTCCTTCATTCGCAATACTCAACAAGCCCTCGTTGGTCTGGGACTTGCGCTTCTTTGGTGACAGACGGCCAGGTGAAGTTTGCGGTGATGTGGTGGTAGTGTGAATGCTCTGATTCATGCTGGGCTCAATAACATGCAGGTCAAGTTCACTTTTACTAAATTGATGAAAAATAGCAAAATAATATAAACATGATGATGAAGAAGATGATAATGACAAATGGAAAATGCAATAAACAGAATGATAATATTCATTTCTCTGCTTTGACATTGGACACAATACTTGCAGATGCTCAGATGCTAAAATTTAGTGGTGCAATTAACCAAGAAAAGTATTACCAATGCAGACAAATCAGTTTAAAGTTTTATTCAAGACAGAGAGAATGAAGTTACTATAAAGGAGAAAATACAGGATACAAGGAATGCATTATATAAGAGTGAAAGCCAGCAAGCATATAGCATGCATCCATGATCTACTGATCTATGAGTAATATCATTAACTTACTTAATCTTTCTGAGTAGAGTGTAGCACTGAGCAACACGAAACATATCCCTATATCGCAGAAAGGGAGAGATAGATAAATAGATAGATAGATAGATAGATAGATAGATAGACACCATAAAATAGATACAGAAAGAAAGAGAAAGACCACAAATGAGTATCAGATGTAGTTTTCTCCATACGCCTAGTTTTATTTGACAAGGTACAAAGGTATAGTAGAACATGAAATTAAAGCTAAGAGTAACATTTTGGAAGATATCTAAATATTTCTAACATTGCATTGTTGCGGTGACATAGGCAAAGTATCTGACATTGGTTGCCAAAAACAGTTAAATCTTGACAGTAAATGTTTGAGTGACTAATATTTTCTCTGGCTGGTCTATAATTGTAGTACTGTGTTAGTGCACAGGCAGCATGACCTAAAGGGTGGTTGTTGAATACTGATAGTGGGATACACAAGTGTTATATTGTATTAGGAATCATGAAAGAAACTGCAGTTTAACTCACCCAAATGCGTTGCCTTCACTCGGTAGACTTCGTGACCGCTGTTGCATAGGCCATGGTGACTTAGGTTTACCTAAAAAGTGGGAACAATGTATGTCTTTAAAGAGGCAAGTCCCACCATTACAATCTTTTGGTGTGATTCAAGTAGAAACACTTTTGCAGTAAAATGCATGCAAATTTGCATCATGAATCTAGCCTGCCAGCCTTTGATGTGATGATATTCACAAAGACATAGAGTTGATGGCCAAGATTTCCCACTTGAATTCACCTTTCTGCAATTCAACGTTAGGACACTGCTGCTAGTCTGACACTGATTTCTGTTCTATGTAAATTTCGCACTGTGTTTTTGATCAGATCATTCTAGCAGTATATTCAATCAAAGACAAACACAATAATTTCAAAAGTACATTTTCTGACTGAATATTTACTAGCGACTGGCAAAAACTTATCAGTGTTTTAAGGTGAGCTGCTTTCATGCTATTGGTCAAAATGATGTTCCAATGGCGCACGTAGAACATGGTTAAAATGTCAATGTCTTGATTCCCTTCAAAATAATCCAACATTTCCTTTACAAGTTCAAACATTCCAAAGTTTTTTTAGAAAGTTTGGCCATGAAATTGGGTGCCAGTCCAGATTTAATTAATATTGAAAAAATAGAGTGTATGGTGACAGTATTTAATACATGTGTAGTATAGTATAGTGAAAGTCATCCAACCATTCAACTGTACCTAACAATGTTATCTTATAAGACATGTTTTATATACCACACACATCTTTCAACTTACCACCCCGTTTCCTGTACTGTTTGCCTGCAGTCATAAAAGCATTGCAGCTCCGGAAAAACGCCCTGACAATAGCCCATCGGAAGACAGCAACTGGATCAGCACCAATTAGCTCACGAACAAAAGACATGTTGCTGTTCTTTAATACTGCTACTATATCAGATCTCATTAAATCATTGTTCTTTTCACGAAATTCCTACAAACCAATACACACTATAATTTAAGCGGTGACTGGAGAGGTGAATAACCAATTAGATCCATGTGACAATCATTTGACACAAAGCCAAGATATGACTGTATGCCTGGTTCACATAGCATTTAATCCTACTGAATGTTGCCTATATATTTACTATGCCTGGTTCACATAGCATTTAATCCTACTGAATGTTGCCTATATATTTACTATAATTTGTTACCATATTATATCATGTGAATATGACTTATGGCTGGCTCATATGACATATGATAGACTCATATCAAATGCATATGACTGGTTCATATGTGAATATGACATATGATTGTCTCATATTGTGTGAATATGAAATGATTGTCACATATTGTGTGAATGATAAATGACTGTCTCATATGAATATGACCTTTGACCATCTCATATCGTGTGAATACGACTGGCTCATATCGTGTGAATATGACATATGATTGACTTGTATCATGTGGATATGATAGGCTCATATCATTTGAATATGATAGGCTCATATCCTTTGAATACATATGATAGGCTCATATCATTTGAATACATATAGGCTCATATCATTTGAATACATATGATAGGCTCATATCATTTGAATACATATGATAGGCTCATATCATTTGAATACATATGATAGGCTCATATCATTTGAATACATATGATAGGCTCATATCATTTGAATACATATGATAGGCTCATATCGTTTGAATACATATGATAGGCTCATATCGTTTGAATACATATGATAGGCTCATATCGTTTGAATACATATGATAGGCTCATATCGTTTGAATACATATGATAGGCTCATATCATTTGAATACATATGATAGGCTCATATCATTTGAATACATATGATAGGCTCATATCATTTGAATACATATGATAGGCTCATATCATTTGAATACATATGATAGGTTCATATCATTTGAATACATATGATAGGCTCATATCATTTGAATACATATGATAGGCTCATATCATTTGAATACATATGATAGGCTCATATCGTTTGAATACATATGATAGGCTCATATCGTTTGAATACATATGATAGGCTCATATCATTTGAATACATATGATAGGCTCATATCATTTGAATACATATGATAGGCTCATATCATTTGAATACATATGATAGGCTCATATCATAGCGACCTAACATATCATAACTGTCCATGATACAGTCCTTACCTTAGCCTGATATTTAATTTTACCAGCATAATGAACAATAATGAAAGATGCTTCTTTGACTTGTGGCAGTTCAAAACTTTCATGAGTATGATGAAGTCTGTCAAATTTAGCTACCAGATTATGCCCATCCGTATCAACCTGTGGAAAACTGCAAAAAAAGATACAAATAATTAGGATTTTTTTTAACACTGCCATTACTACTCTAATGTAAGTGTAGTAAAAATCTCTTACTTGCAATCATCATCTAAAACATGAAATAACCCAGTGGGTCTTCTGGACAGGAGATTCAAACAGGATGTGTTATCAATGAAATCAATGTGATCCCAATGTATGCCTTCTCTTGCATATTCTTCCTGTGAAACAATAAAAACAAGTAAACATGCAGTAAATAAGGGTGTCATTTAGATACAAAATTTAGTAGAAAGAAAGTAATAAAAGAAGAGGAATTACCTTTTATAGTTTTAGTAATTCATTGAGTAAAAGTTAAGCAATCTAAAACATGTTTAGCATTGAGAGATGACTCTAGTATGAATGTAAACGCCTTTATTTTTTAATTAGATCAAAATGGAAACAAAAGTTTCATGTAACTAAACACTAGAGGGAGCCATACCTGTTCAAATCGAAAGACATGCTGGTTGAAATAATACTGTAAATGCTCATTGGCAAAGTTGATACAAAACTGCTCAAAACTATTCTTTCCAAAGTCTTCGAAACCAAAAATATCCAGAACACCAATTGACTGACCCTAAAAGTAAAACAAGACATGGACATGAGCTAACATATAATTCATCTAAGTGTATATAATGAAACCATATTACTCTAGGGGGTAATTAAGGAAGTTGGGTAAAAAATCAGTGTTTCAAAAACATGCATAACATTATATTGCAATTTTTTTAATTTACATTGGAACAAATTTACTTCTAGTAACCATGGTTTGATGGTATTTATAGGAGTCACATTCCCAAACCCAATTTCATAGACTAGAATTATAAAATTCAAAAATTGCATTACATAGTTCTAGTGAGTTCTCAAGTTTAAGAAATATATAAAGTTTGAACAATATCAGTCAAAGCATGTCAGAGATATGGCTCTAAAACTGCATTCACTAAAACAAAATGGCCACCATTCGGCAATTTTAAATTTGATCTGAAAAACAAAATGTTGTATGATATTTGTATCCCATAATGGCAGAAATGCTTGATTTTGATGAATGGCTACCATTCGGCTATCTTGATGCAGACCAAAAATGAATAGACGTGAATATGTATGCCAAGATGCCTGATGTATTTGTGTAATGTAATTGGTTCGAGATACAGATGGAGACACACACACAGATGCAAAAAGTTCTCATCTTTGTCTATGCGGACTAAAAACATACAAAAAACAATTGACGAGAAATGGCCAAATCCCACAAAAAAACTTTTTCTGAAATTACAAGAATTCAGTGAATTAAATTCAAAATTTAAACTATTACATTGTACTTATTTTTTCCTATCACTATCTTAAATACATTAGAATAAGCTCTTGTAATTGGATATAATATGCAAATTAGCAATACAATACATTTGCTACCAAATCAAATGAGATGTTAAAAGCCATACTTGTATAAAATATGAATGCCATAGATCTCCTCTAAAATATCAATAAGAAATATGATCCATTTCACACCAAGATTCATGTAAACAAAAAGCTAAAACTTATTATTATGCAAATTATCTTTTTAAGTAGCATATAAATGTACCAAATCTTTGAGAATCTTACAATTATCATACAAAACTTTTAAACAAAATTCTTGATTTAAGTTGGCCATTGCCATTGTAACTATCAATCAGAGGACGTCATAATGAGATGGTGCAAGCAGACGTCATAATGAGATGGTGCAAGCTGATGTCATAATGAGATGGTACAAGCAGACGTCATAATGAGATGATGCAAGCAGACGTCATAATGAGATGGTGCAAGCAGACGTCATAATGAGATGGTGCAAGCAGACGTCATAATGAGATGGTGCAAGCAGACGTCATAATGAGATGGTGCAAGCTGACGTCATAATGAGATGGTGCAAGCAGACGTCATAATGAGATGGTGCAAGCAGACATCATAATGAGATGGTGCAAGCAGACGTCATAATGAGATGGTGCAAGCAGACGTCATAATGAGATGGTACAAGCTGACGTCATAATGAGATGGTGCAAGCTGACGTCATAATGAGATGGTGCAAGGACGTCATAATGAGATGGTGCAAGCAGACATCATAATGAGATGGTGCAAGCAGACGTCATAATGAGATGGTGCAAGCTGACGTCATAATGAGATGGTGCAAGCTGACGTCATAATGAGGATGGTACAAGCAGACGTCATAATGAGATGGTGCAAGCAGACGTCATAATGAGGATGGTACAAGCAGACGTCATAATGAGATGGTGCAAGCAGACGTCATAATGAGGATGGTACAAGCAGACGTCATAATGAGGATGGTACAAGCAGACGTCATAATGAGATGGTGCAAGCAGACGTCATAATGAGGATGGTACAAGCAGACGTCATAATGAGATGGTGCAAGCAGACGTCATAATGAGGATGGTGTAGGCAGACGTCATAATGAGATGATGCAAGCAGACGTCATAATGAGATGGTGCAAGCAGACGTCATAATGAAATGGTGCAAGCTGACGTCATAATGAGATGGTGCAAGCAGACGTCATAATGAGGATGGTACAAGCAGACGTCATAATGAGATGGTGCAAGCAGACGTCATAATGAGGATGGTGCAAGCTGACGTCATAATGAGATGGTGCAAGCAGACATCATAATGAGATGGTGCAAGCAGACGTCATAATGAGATGGTGCAAGCAGACGTCATAATGAGATGGTGCAAGCATCACAAGATTTTCACACCATATTTTTGATACAATCAACATAGACATGGAAATATGACACTATTAAGGCTTAACATGTAGCAATGTACAACATAACTTGTATCAGAGATTAAATTACAATACCACAGTATTATATTCCTGTAACATGCTACACATAGCACCGATCCAGAGAACAAAGGTCACTTAAGGTCATAGCACACATACTGTAAAACTGTCAATATTAATCACATTACATAGCTTCAGGAGTTAAATCTCCATCATAAACAAGTGTATGTCATTTGTTTCACTACAAATGTACAGTACTGTATCCAATAGTTTTATTTGAATGACCTAGTTTTTATTGCATTGCTATGAATGTAATGGATGCCAAATACTGTATTTACTCTATTAGAATTGCATCAATAAAAAAGCATATGAATAACAAATTTTGTTTAATGTATACTAGATATATTTTTATTTCTGTATCTTCCACCAAAACTCATTTACACAAATGCAACAGTGATATCAATTTACTCAAAAAATCCACTTTCAGATGGTTTAAAATAATTAGTGTTGGGCTTCGGAATGACAATCATGTATTACCCACACTTAAAATATTACAATACGCATAAACAAAAACAAAACAATAACAAGTAATTGTATTACATAGTCCATGTCAGTTATTAGATTTAGGAAAACACTTCAGGGAACATCAGAGACATAGCTTGAGACATTCAGAATTCAAAATGAAAAATAATATGACTTGCATAAACAAAATCTGTTTCTGCACAACCAAGATCCAGTTCCATAATGGGAGAGATCAATATTTAACATTAAAATGGCCGCTTTTCAACCATCCTGAATCAAATCATTAAACAAATAGAGGCACATATGTGTGACATGATGTACATACAAAGTTTTAACATGATCAGTCAGGCCATATTGGAGAGTTATGGCTCGGGATCACTTTTCATTAAAACAAAATGGGCATGAGTCGGCCATTTTAAATCCAATCTGAAAAACAAAATCATATGTATCAAGGTCACATAAAATCCAATGTATCAAGTTTGAATGAAATCTGTTCATACATGACCAAGATCTTGTTCAGGAACAATATATATACTTGAATGGCCACCATTCAGCCATCTTGAATTTGATCGTGAAACCAATAGACAAGTACATTTATTGATGATATATGTATGACTGAGATTGGTCTAGACATGACTGTGACACTGGTCTGCATGCACAAACTTTAAGGTCACGTTCTTGGACTGCTTCAATACAGCAACTAACAATACCCCTACCTGAATGAGACAAGAAATCTTATCTATTGATATAAAAATACACAATACAGACATTTTTCAGGATTCCATATGTTAAGTCATATACTAGTTTATTTCAAATATTTTTGCTACAAAAGCAGACCAGGTCAATACAGGTAATAAGAATACGATAAAGATATCATAGTACTGTAAGATGTGTCAGAAATTCTCTCAACACGTACTGCTCTAATATAACTGCTGTATTTTTGAAAATAAGTTCTTAATCTTCGTATGTATTCTTATTCAAATGGAGAATTTCTTAATATTTATTTTTCAAATCACAATCATTATACGGTATAAATGTGAGCTGTTCTCAGAGTGTTATTCTATCAATGATAGGTCGCTAAATAACCAATTAAAATGCTAGATGGTGCCAACATGTTCAAATTACCATAGCCATTTAAATATGTTAATTACAGTTCAGCAGATTTGAGAGATTTGACAATGTTGTAGTGTGATCTTTGATGGGAAAATGCCATGATTTTTTTTAATCAAGAAATTAGTTGCTTTTGAAAGATAAACTGAGCATTGAAGAAAAATTTTACACTTTTTTAAGGCGATAACAACTCACTGTCAAAGTTCTCACAGTTTACTGATTCACGCTCTAGCCACAATAAATTAACATCGTACTCTTGAATAGGCATCAATAACTACAGAAAACCTAAACTCTAATCTTGGCATCAGGAAAGATTGAAATGTTCAAAAAAAGATGCATATTCAAGAGATTATACGATAGTTTTCTGTTTTAACCATTCAATTATTTGCATTCTTGACAGCAACACATCTTGTATATAACTCAGACTCCATTAAATGACTTCAGTGTATCCTGACTATTTATGTTATCACAATCTTCTCATCTTGTGAAGACAAATTTAACACAAAATTGCTTTTAAGAAATGAGAGGGGACTATGTTACGATGAGTAATGTTATAGGATTTTATAAATAACGTTTGAGATCACGACATCCATTAAGTTATACTACCATGACATAAATGGGTCACAGCTGATAATATACACTTAGGAGGGAGATACTTACATGGTGATCAGCTTTCATTTCATAGTGTGACATCAAAGCATGGTTGACTTGTAAAACAATCCAATCAAACAAGGCACTGTACAGACACTTGGCGAGGGCATCACGATTTCCAACAGCCTGTAATAAAAATAATCAATATATTTTTAGGATGTTTATCATTACATCCATGGAGATATATACATACTACCAAGTAACCAACATAATGAAAAAGTATACTAACATCGTCACTATATTTAATAGGGCAAAATGCAATGGAATTTGCCTATACATATTCATGAAATAACATAAAAACTAGGAAATCAAAATTTTTCCCAAGTCCCTTAAAAACTAACACATCACTACAAACCACACACACTGCAACACAGGGTAAGACTATGCCATCCATGGTAAGACTATGCCACCCAGGGTAAGACTATGCCACCAAGGGTAAGACAATGCCACCCAGGGTAACACAATGCCACCCAGGGTAACACAATGCCACCCAGGGTAAGACAATGCCACCCAGGGTAAGACACTGCCACCCAGGGTAAGACTATTCCACCCAGGGTAAGACAATGCCACCCAGGGTAAGACAATGCCACCCAGGGTAAGACAATGCCACCCAGGGTAAGACAATGCCACCCAGGGTAAGACAATGCCACCCAGGGTAAGACAATGCCACCCAGGGTAAGACAATGCCACCCAGGGTAAGACAATGCCACCCAGGGTAAGACAATGCCACCCAGGGTAATACTATGCAACCCAGGGTAAGACAATGCCACCCATGGTAAGACAATGCCACCCAGGGTAAGACTATGCCACCCAGGGTAAGACAATGCCACCCAGGGTAAGACAATGCCACCCAGGGTAAGACTATGCCACCCAGGGTAACACAATGCCACCCAGGGTAAGACAATGCCACCCAGGGTAAGACAATACCACCCAAGGTAAGACTATGCCACCCAGGGTAATACTATGCAACCCAGGGTAAGACAATTCCACCCATGGTAAGACTATGCCACCCAGGGTAAGACAATGCCACCCAGGGTAAGACAATGCCACCCAGGGTAAGACAATGCCACCCAGGGTAAGACAATGCCACCCAGGGTAACACAATGCCACCCAGGGTAAGACCATGCCACCCAGGGTAAGACCATGCCACCCAGGGTAAGACCATGCCACCCAGGGTAAGACAATGCCACCCAAGGTAAGACAATGCCACCCAGGGTAAGACAATGCCACCCAGGGTAAGACAATGCCACCCAGGGTAAGACAATGCCACCCAGGGTAAGACAATGTCACCCAGGGTAAGACTATGCCACCCAGGGTAACACAA